TGATTGAAACCAATCATTTTTCAATAAATAAATATATAACTAAATGAACACTGATATATACACTTTTTAAAAGTTACATACTTCGTTACATATTTTATTATATATTGATAGTTTTCGTTAGTATGCTGTTAAAACTAATGGAAACTATTAGTTTTAACGGCAAAAATAATAAAAACTGTCAGTTTTAACAATACAAGTAACGAAAACCGTTAATTTTAATGGTATATTAATGAAAACCATCAGTGTGTAATGGAGTGTATAATTTTAGAATGTGTATATATTATTTTCCCTAACTAAATAAAGATCAACTCATAAAGTTCTTATTGAAAAAGCATCGGTACAAGAAAAATTAAGTATTAGCCATTGTATTAGTATGTATGGCATTCAAATTAAGTTTTGAATTAGTAAATGCTACCATGCATATATATACAAAAGGGATCGAAGAGGAAAGATATTTCCAATAGTAACAAGTGTGTAGAAAAGGACTACTAGCTTGTAACACCTCTGAAAATATGAAAACTTAATCATATGTCTCAATCGGATTGAAGATATCTATATATATATACAAACATACGAAAGTTAGGCTCTTTTGATGAGGTTGGATGAGCAACGTACGGTGTACAACCCTTTAACTTTAGCACCCAAACTCTTATTCGAAAGGAAGACTTTGGGACTATAACTACTCCCGGTTGCAGCTGACGACTGATCAGGAAAAACAAGGGCATCGTTTCATGTGTACGCGTTCATGACTATCTTTGCCTAAGTGATCTGCACGTAAAGAGATGGATAGAACTTTCATTTCAGCCGTTCGTTTATTTTGGTCACATGTTATTTGTGCAAAATTCAATAGGGAGCATAAGAGGAAAGCATCATGTGAAAGATGAGGAAATATTTTACATGATGGGTCGGCCCCCTTTTTTTTTTTTAACATTAAGGTGTCTTTGGCTTTGTTTTTGTAGACTTCAAAATTAATCCATTTTCAGATAAGGGTACTTAAAAAATGGTCAAGAAAATAATTTCTTTATATATTGGCTCAAAACTTGAATCTTAGA